CTGAAAACCTTCAACTTCCCTAAATTTAAATTTTCTTATCAAAGAAGATAAAATAATCTTGAATTCAATTGTGGCTAATTTATAACCTATACAAGATCTAGGACCTGTCAAAAATGGTAAATATGTATAATTATTTATTTCTGATGTTAACTTTGGATTTAACCATCTTGATGGTTCAAATTCATCATGATTTTCTCCCCAAATTTTTGAATCATGGTGGACTGCATATAATGATACTACAATTGGTGTGTTCTATTGATTAATTAAATGATATATATGAGAAGCAGAAAAGAAAAAAAATTTAGATATATATAAATCAATAGATGTTAAAATTAGAATTAAATAAATTGTTAATACTTTTGGAATAAAGTATCCATCAATTGTTGTATTAGTTTCACAACTTCTTGCTATTGCTGGTACTGATATAAATAATAATATGGTATTAGTATATATATATACACACACAAATATGAATAATTGTATTGATATATTAATTTTCCATCTTTCATAATAATAATAATAAAAGTACCTGGTGGAATGAGTCTCATGGTTTCTTTGAATACACAATTTAAATATTCTAAGGAATTTATTTTATCAAATGATGTTTCCAAATCAGGATCTGATGAAGCTTCTAATAATTCTTGACGAAGATGATCTTGAACCTCTGGATGCTTGGCAAGTAAATATAATGCCCAAGAAATTGCAGTACCTGTGGTTTCATGACCAGCTGCTAAAAATGTCATGATCTATCACAAAACAAATAAATTAAAACCAAATAAAATAACAAAATAAATATATAATATAATATGTATGTAATTTACTTGATATTTTAATTCTGATTCAGACATTTTTTCTTCTGGTGGCAAGTCTTGATTAATATTGATTAACAAAGACAACAAATCTTTTCCTTCCAATTTTTTTAATTGTGCCTGTTTTTGTCTTTCTTCAATTAGTTCCAAGGAAAATTTTTCAGTGACTTTAATAGATTTAGCTAATTTTATATTTTCTTCAAATGGCAAAGATCTAATCCATTTGAATTTATTTGACAAAATCATTAACATGAAACTCTTGAATGTTAATTTGGTATCAAAAATTTGTTCATAAGCAGCTGCTAATTCATTCTTAGAACAAAGTGAATTGAATTCATATTGAAATCCTATTCATGATAAATGCAATGAGCAAATAATATATTGAGCTAGTGTAAAAAAATATCATGAAAATCATATTTAAAGCATACCAACTAAGCCAATAACATCTAATGTAACTTTTGATGTATATGAATTAATATTTGTAATTTGTTTTTCATCTTGATCACCAATCAGATCATTCAATGCATCATTTAATTTATTAGCAGAATTGATGATTGTAGGGACCATTTCCTACAAATTGGATTTTAATCAAACACACATTCAATTTAAAATTAAAATAACATTAATATTAATAACAATAATTACTTTCAAGTTTGTAACAGAGAATGCTGGATTCATCATTTTTCTTTGACGTTTGTGTTGATCACCTTCAGCAAACAAAATTCCCTCTCCTGTTATAATTTTTAAATTAGCACTCATACTTTTTGCTTTAGTAAATTCATAAGAAGTTAATATTTGTGGATAGTATTTAGGATCTGTTAAAAGTACAAATGGTTGGTTCAAAAATCCGTGATATACAATTATTCCTCCATATTTCTTTTTCCAATCTAAATGAGGTTTTCCAACCTTTAATTCAATATTACATTTTGTTATTATTTCGGAATAAATTTATTTTTCAGAAAAAAAAAGATTTAAATAAATGATATTATTATTTACATCGGAATTCATAAAAGTTAGGAGATTTCCAAACAAAATACTTTCAGAAGGTGGGCCAGGTATTTTATGTAGTGGTGACAAGTAAAAAGGTTCGATTAAAGATTTATAAATTAAAAAACTTATTGCACCTAAAATTATAGTAAGTATATAAGCTGTCAAATTATCAATCATTTTTTATATATATTTAATTTTTTAAGAAGAAATTTTTGGGAGAAAAAAAACCGTATCAGAAATTCAAAGGCTTACTCTCTATTTATCTACTATACATAGTAATATAAATAGTATGCGGATTTAATAATGGAAAATCCGATTGGTCAATACACGTCAATTTAAAATGCACAGGGTCTTATGTTATCTTTAAAAGTAAATATCATTCTGTGAATACAAAATCTTCATTCACGCATTTCTTCTTTACCAATATTGTTTATATAAACAAAAATATTCATTGTTTAATGAGAAAATTCAAAAATCCTGCCAATTTTTATTATATTAATGTAATTATCAACTATTCATCATTTTCACTGTTAAAAAAAAATTAAGTCAATATAAAGATGCTTTGCCTCCACAAAAAACCAGGACAATTCGCAATTACTTCTTTATTGTTAAAGAAGTCAGCCAAGAATTTATTGAAATGTAAAGAAAATATTTTTGCTTTGATAATCCGTAATTTGCGATTCTAATCATCTTATTCGAGGGATCTCCTATAAAATATAAACAAAGCTGGGAGATAAAAAGGTATGTTATATTACTTTCCCCAAGACTTGTTCTGAATCATCTTTAATGTGCTGTAAATATCATATTGAAGTTTAAAGTTTGTAATTTTTTTAAAAGAGATATAATGATAATTTAAAATCCTGTTATCCTTTTTGAAAATAAATTTGCAGAATTGTCGTGTTATCCATTTGAACAAATAATTTAGACATTTCACCACATTTGTATATATAATCTGGGATTACAAAGAATTTTTTTTTAATTAAAATGGCAAAGAAAAAGGACCTTTTGTTTAATAATAATAATAATAATAATAATAATAATATACTGTAATTGAAAATGAAAATAATTTAATTATTTATTTATGATTATAAAATGAAACGGGGTTTATAAAAGAATCTATCTTCCCCAAGATAATATATTTATCATTCGTTCCAATATATTAGATATTATTTCTCGTAAGACATAATGACGAAAACAGTATCACAAGGAAGCAATTTTGAAATGAATCTAAACTCAATTTGTTATATTTGAATTCCTTTTATAAATTGTCACAGCAATTTCTTAGAAGGATTATTGGACAAGGATATTAACGACCTAGTCAGTCCATACTTGGACGCTATTATGTAACTAGTTACAATTATAATTGCAGAAATAAAAGTTTTTTTTAACTATATATTAATAAATGACAATGAACTATTATAATGATGATAATAGTCGTTCTAAAATAAAGTTGGTGTTTGAAATTCTGAAACTGACATAGATTGCAAATTCACAATTAATTTGTAATCCTTTAAGGAAATAACAAGATTTTTAATAATAATTCCCATGATCTTGGCACATTTCTAAATAATGTGTAGTAAGGAGACTTTGATGCACAAGAAAAATATTTATACAGGTCTATTTGTTAAATATTTAATTATTTATTTTAAGTAGAGTTGAGGAATTTTAGATATGCACCCCACCAATTGTTATTAAAGATCATCGAATAAGACATAAATAAACAACTACATATCAATCATAAATAGATATTATTATTATTGCACTTTTGAAACATAAAGATCAATTCCAGGATCAGGTCTAGTAATAGCACCAATTTTTTTTTTGACCTGAAAACCTTCAACTTCCCTAAATTTAAATTTTCTTATCAAAGAAGATAAAATAATCTTGAATTCAATTGTGGCTA